ATCCCGTAAACTTTCAGCTCGAGTTACATACCGCTTTCAGTGCCTACAAGATTGCAATGCAGTGGTCGATATGAATGACAAGCTCGTGGAAACTGTCCATACGGTCGGAGCTAAGTTCTGCAAGACCCGCCGCAGAAGAACACAAAAACTCTCCAATCACACTCTTAATCTCATGGCTGTTAGACGGGAGATGAGGCTGCAATCGTCAACAGATTTGACAGCATACAGGCAACTGAACAGACAGATCTCCAAATGCATGTGGCGAGACTTACGCAATTTTAATACTACTCGTTTTAAAGAAGCGATCGAGTGGAACCAGGGCTCCAAAGTCTTTGCCAGAGATCTGTTTGCCAGTAAGAGCCAACTGTCAAAGCTGAAGACTGAGTGTGGCAGCATCGTTTCTGGGATACCTGAGATTTTGAGTAAGATTGAGAGGTTCTATGGGCAGCTGTACACATCATCGTTGGAGCCACACGCAAGTGTGAGTAACGATCCAAGAGCAAGTCTTATCCGACACTATTCCGGTGATATCCCGGACGTCAGTCTAAGCGAGATTAGAATGGCTCTCCAGCACCTTAAAAACGGCAGGGTTCCAGGCGAGGATGGAATTACAGCGGAGCTTCTGAAAGCGGGTGGAACACCGGTACTTGAAGTCCTTCAGAAGCTCTTCAATTCTGTCCTCCATGGTGGCACTACTCCAGAGGCGTGGAAGAGAAGTGCTGTGGTCTTGTTCTTTAAGAAAGGCGACAACGCTCTCTTGAAGAACTACAGACCGATTTCCCTTCTGAGCCGCGTCTACGTGCTGTTTTCGAGAGTCATTACGAATCGTCTCGCACGCAGACTCGACGACTTCCAGCCTCCCGAACAAGCCGGTTTCCGAAAAGGCTTCAGTACCATAGTCCACATACATACCCTGCGGCAGATTGTACAGAAGACTGAAGAGTACAATCTGCCACTTTGCCTGGCTTATGTGGACTATGAGAAAGCCTTTGATTCCGTCGAAATTTGGGCGGTGCTACAGTCCCTTCAGCGGTGCCAAGTTGACTGTCGGTATATCGAAGTGCTGAAGTGTTTGTACAGTAGGATGATGAGATGGTTATCCGAGTACAGAACCAGAGCTCGAAACCTATCCAACTGCAGAGAGGTGTAAGACAGGGTAATGTTATATCCCCGAAACTCTTCACTGCTGCATTGGAAGACGTTTTCAAGCTGCTGGACTGGAAAGGATACGGTATTAACATCAATGGCGAGTACATCACTCACCTTCAATTTGCCGACGATATAGTCCTTATGGCAGAATCGCTGGAGGACATAAGCACTGTGGCAAGCGTAAATTAAAGTGTTAATTTAGGTAATTTTATCGGCAATTTTTATTGTCACGAACCCTAAGCTCGTAACAATTGGTGTCAGAAGTGGGATAAAATCATGCCGATTTTACCTAAGGACGAGATGGAGGGTGTCCGTACCCGAAGTCAACGCCAGCAGGAGACGGACCAGAGGAGATTTGGTGGTGCAACGCCGCAGACGTAGGAGGGCCAAATGCCAGCCACGGAGGCTGCGGGCCCGTCAGTAGCTCCTACATCTGCAGCACCTGACTTAGGTGCTCTGATGGCGATGCTACAGGAACAGGCTCGTCGACAGGAGGAACAGGCTCGCCGACAGGAGGAACAGGCTCGCCGACAGGAGGAACAGGTCCGTCGGTTGGAAGAGCAGCTGCGGGGCGGCCAGGAAGAACAGATGCTTCTCATGAAGGACCTTCACGCTACCTTCGGGAAAGAGATAAGGGAGGTGAAGGATAAGGTTGCTCAACATGAAAACCGCCTGTCGGAAGCTGAAACCCGAATTGACCAAGTGAACAATCGGGTTGACAACGTAATGGCTGACATGAGGAAATCACTTGAACTACAGCTCCCGTAGTAGCTACTACACCTTCGCTACGTGGGTTCAAGGTGCCACCATTCGACGGGACTTCTTCCTGGTCAGCCTACAAAATCCAGTTCGAGGCTGTTATGAAGGCGAACGGCTGGAATAAAAGTCAGGCCATGACTGCTCTCACACTAGGCCTGCGCGACCAGGCCTTAACAGTTCTGGAAGCTCTCGGTGAGGAAGTGACTTATGAGCAACTCCTTGAGGCATTGGAGGCGAGATATGGCGACGCTCACCTGGAACACGTCTTTCGTGCGCAGCTTAAAGATCGTGTGCAGCGCATCAACGAAAACCTGCAGCAGTGGGCTCTAGAGGTGGAGAAGCTGGTGCGGAAAGCATACCGGTATGTACCTGCGCTCATTGAAGGGAACCTGGTGCAGACATTCATCGACGGCATCCGCGACCTGGAAGTCAGAGCTGCTGTGAGGCTCGGGTACCACGAGACGCTTAAGAACGCCTTGTCCCATGCACTGGAGGTGGAAGCCGTGCGGCAGGATCGTCGTTCCCATCGCGTCAGGGAGGTTGCAGCAGCTACAGTCCGTGACCGCAGCAAAGGATACAGCCCTAGGTGCTATGGCTGTTGGGAAAAGGGCCATCTTCGATCCAGCTGCCCTAAACTAACCGTGGAAAGGAGAGTTGATCGATCTCGAGAGGGTAGTACAGCTAACGGCACTGCCTGGCGGCGACAGGATCATCGTTCACCTCACGCTAGGGAGGTTACAGCAGTTACGGTTCGCGACCACAATAAAAGATACAGCCCTAGGTGCTATGGCTGTGGGGAAAGGGGCCATCTTCGGTCCAGCTGCCCTAAGCACACCCTAGGAAGGGAAGGTGAACGGTCTCAGAAAGGAAGTGCGGCTAACAGCACCGCCCAGCAGCAGCAGGAATACGACTTTACTATCAGACACTGCAGCGGCAAATCTCACGGCAACGCAGATGCATTGACAAGAAGACCTTGTCCTGAAGATTGCAACCATTATAGTAGGCAAGAGAGTAAGGAAGTGGTATCCGTGAGGATGCTCAGGACAGACCACCTCAGCAACGGGTGGAAGGACAGCCTACGACATGCACAGCAGGAAGATCCGGACATCAAGCCGATTCTGGGATGGATGAATGCCCGTGCTACCAAGCCTAAGTGGAGGGACGTCTCAGCGATGAGTTCAACCACGAAAAGCTATTGGGCCCAATGGGACAGCTTGCTGATTCAGGATGGAGTCCTGTGCCGTAAATGGGACAATGGTCGAAGGGACAGCTGTCGTTTGCAAATGGTTGTCCCTAAAGCTAAAGTGCCGAATGTTCTACAGCTGTGCCATAATGGTCGTTCAAGAGTCCATCTGGGAGTTAAACGAACTCTACTGAAGGTCCGAGAACAGTTTTACTGGGTCCATTATCGTGACGATGTCGAGGATTGGTGTCGTACATGTACAAGTTGTGCGGCCGTGCGGGGACCTCAGACACGTAGTAGAGGAGCACCGAAATTGTACAATGTTGGTACACCACGGGATAGAACAGCCCTTGACATTGCGGAGCCGTTACAGAAAGGCGCAAGAGGGACTCCTAAGATCGTCCATGTGAATCGCTTGGCGCGTTATTATGGGGCCGATAATGCTCGGGACGAGCATGTCTTAGGAGGGGGCAGTGTTGCATGAATAAGTCAACTAGCGCCATCTAGTGTCAGGAACGAGAGCGAGGGGAGCATTGAGAAAATGACATCACAAATCACTCAACCGACAGCGCCTAGTCGAAACTCGAACGCTCGGTACCGTGCGCGTGTTTACTTGAACATTCTGGATATTTCTTTGCTAATTTAAATATATATGCGCTGCAAGACGCGATCGGGGTAGTGTTGATTTGGCGAGAAAAGCGAAGCTTCGGAGCGGAATAAAGCGAATTAGTGTGTTTAATTATTTGTGTTTTTAACTTTAATTTGTGTAAAGTAAATTAAAGTGTTAATTTAGGTAATTTTATCGGCAATTTTTATTGTCACGAACCCTAAGCTCGTAACAGTATGTATGTGGACTATGGTACTGAAGCCTTTTCGGAAACCGGCTTGTTTGGGAGGCTGGAAGTCGTCGAGTCTGCGTGCGAGACGATTCGTAATGACTCTCGAAAACAGCACGTAGACGCTCAGAAGGGGAATCGGTCTGTAGTTCTTCAAGAGAGCGTTGTCGCCTTTCTTAAATAAAAAGACCACCGCACTTCTGCACCACGCCTCCGGAGTAGTGCCACCATGGAGGATGGAATTGAAGAGCTTCTGAAGGACTTCAAGTACCGGTGTTCCACCCGCTTTCAGAAGCTCCGCTGTAATTCCATCCTCACCTAGGGCCCTGCCGTTTTTAAAGAGCTGGAGAGCCATTGTAATCTCGCTTAGACTGACGTCCGGGATATCATCGGAATAGTGTCGGATAAGACTTATTCTTGGACCGTTACTCACACTTGCGTGTTGCTCCAACGATGATGTGTACAGCTGCCCATAGAACCTCCCAATCTCACTTAAAATCTCAGGTGTCCCGGAAACGATGCTGCCACACTCAGTCTTCAGCCTTGACAGTTGACTCTTTCTGGCAGACAGATCTCTGGCAAAGACTTTGGAAGAAAGAACCGTAACGGGAAAACCTACCTACACTTTTCTTGCTTGAAAGTCCGTGGAGCCCAAACTCATTGACGCTGCTACCACAGGGGCACTGGTGAGGTTGACAAATTGCCTTTTCAAGCCGGATTCCTACGGCGATGCGCAACCTCTCCCCATCAAGGAATGTGCTGAGATTACTCGATGGTAGAGCGTGTAACCAGTGACTAGATTCCTTAGTCGAAACAGTTAGAAGGCGAGCTTGATCTTGATGACTGTAAATATCGAAATGAATTTTTCTGGACGCTCCGTACCAACGGAATATCCCACTGTTTTTGTTGGTTAACTTCCAGTGGGACATTATACCACGGGGAGCGGGACTTTTTGGCAATTTAAATTTTTAGTGTTAGTTTTTCTAAAAGGTACCAATTATGGAATACGTTCCTGATATGGAATACCATAATATTTCTAAAACTAAGCGCTACGAATATTCCAGACGTATGTCATGTTACCCCTCCCGCTACCAGCGTTCGACGGCCAGCCAGTGTGCGTGCGGCGTCCGGCGGCACTAGACGCGAGTGAGAGTGCGCGACACTGTTGACGCAACATCAATCGATTATTTACGTAAGTTTTACGCATGTGTTCTATTACTATTCTTACATGAATATCTCAAAATAACTTGAAAAGTGTCTAAACAAAATATGTAGTTTTTAAATGGTATTGTTATTTTACGAATATTTAACTAATAATAAAAAGTTACTTCTATTTTCATACCGCCATCATATTGTTCGTAATATGGAATATCGTTGAGGTGGAATAGTATTCCATATTAGGACCTCGACGTAAGGAAGTTTTTAATATGGTGTCTGATTACTATTTCTCTCTTTTACAGATATATTTGTGATCAACATGGCCCCGCCAGTAAAAAAACGAAAAGCATGGGACAAAATCAATATGAAAAATGAAGAGGGTGAATGTACAGTTCACGATATATCTATACCACAAAAGCCAACTCTTGGCATAGCTAGCTAGCGTTCAACCACACCCACCAAAAATGAAAATATTTCCCTAAAATTGCTTATTACCCCCGAAGCCATTTTACCTTATCCTAAATTAAAAAGAAAACTCTCTAACCGTGGCAGAAAAGCTGCAAAAGCTTGCAAAATTACATCGTCTCCCTAAAGAAATCAAAGCTCAATTAGAAGTTAGCTTGTCGTCAAAACAGCCGCACAAGCAGCAAAAACAAGGTGTTCCCAAGCCACAGCCATCAACGAGCGGCTGTCAGAAAAACAAGCGAAAGAAGAAACCAGTGTTGGAGTCTGAATCATCTTCTGATAAAGATACCATATCTTTATCTAGTGAATGTAGTGACTGTTCTTCAACCTAACGATCCAAATGCTGACGCTGAGTGCATGTATTGCTCTGGTCTTTTCAGTGAAGACAAAAAGGGAGAAGAGTGGATTCAGTGCATTGCCTGTAGACAATGGAGTCACGTTGAATGTTCCGGAGCAGAATATCCAGATTTTATTTGTGAGTTTTGTTTACAGGGTTAATTTTATTATTTTCTTTTCATTAACGAGACGTGACCCTATTATGAATTACCCTATATGGAATAGGGTAATTCATAATAGCGTAGGGTCACATTTTTGAGAGGCATATTTTTTGGTTGATTTATTTTAGTTAATAATATTACGGAAAGTGTTTATTTTTTATTGATTTAATTGTTATTTTTCACTGATTAAAATAAAACGTTTGTACTGATTTTTATAGGAATTTCTTTAAGTATTCCATATTCGGTCCTTTTCCTTATAGTTTCTTTTTTATATTGTGTATAATACTAATTATTAATTGTAAATATTATAATTTTATTTATTATTTTTATTTAATGTTACATATATAATGATTGCTGTAATTTACTTTAATAAAATTAATCTATTATTGTATTGTCATCAGTCCTTAATACGAGTGCTAGTTGTCAAGCCGTCTACAAGTTGCTGAAAATTACATTAAAAGATTCCGTTACATAGATATATAGATGGATACACGCAGATATAATAAAAGCGTGCGGAGAACAGCAGTGGCAGATTAGAAGGCGTATTGTACCAGGGATACCGATGTATACACTACACGTGGACTATCTCGACCGATTTGTTTAGCAAAGTTGTTATATTTATATAACTAGTCATCCAACCCAGCTTCGCCTGGATTAGATTTATTATAAGAGGATTATCTGGATTTAAGATTATAATCAATACCATTTATTTTATAAGTTGTTCTGATAAAATATTGAATAGATCCCTTGTAGGCACGGCTTGATATGTGTTCGTAAAGTTTCATGACAGTTGGTTCAGCTATTTTGAAGATTAACTAGGAAAGAAAGTTAGACAGACAAACATTTTAAAAATGCTTCTTTTTTACGGATTTTATCGTGTATATTAACTTATTTTTAATTTCCAAGTCCCGGGGAGGAGGACTGAGGTATCTGAGTTCCAACGTCCTTAAAACTTAGTTTCACTTGAATGTGTAAATTTCGCGTAAACTTAATGAGATTTTGAAAACAATATTTTGTGGAAGAACGAAGCCGATGCCGTATAGAGTCCGTTTTTTAGAAGATAGCTAGACAGACAAACATTTTAAAATGCTATTTTATTACTGTCTACATTGACTTAGTTTTAATTTTCGAGACCCTTTTTACTGGAATCGAGGCATTCCATGTTAGTCCTCAAGGGTGACAACGCATTTGCATTTTGATTCTTAACTGAGGATAAATGTGGAGGTCAATGGGCCACAGCATCCACTTACCATCGGGTGGACTGTGTGCTCGTTTGTCACCCAAAGTTTAAAAAAAACGGGGAGGACTGAGGCGTCTGACTTTCAGTGTCCGTAAAACTTAGTTTCTTTTGAATGTGGAGATTTCGCGTAAACATAAGAACGTTTTAAAAATAAAAGTTTGTGGAAGAACGAAGCCGATGCCGTATAGGGGGTCCGAGATCTCTTTACATTTGCACCGTCCAGCGTCTATTAAATCAACGAACTTCAAACCCTACGTACTCCAGGTTCCTGCAATGTACAAAGAGACATTCCTCGCTCCCGATTCCCTGCCCTAGGGTAGTAGATCGGCGATACAGGGACGTGCCAAAGAATGTTTTATAAATAGTAGTTAAATTTATGTTTTAAATATAATTTTAGGTTAAGGTACATATATTGTTGTAGGCAAATGTTCTTAACATTTAAGTTCTTCATGCCAGAAATAAAGTTATTGTGTTGAATTATATTTTATTAGTTAAGAAATCATGATGGTTATTTGTGTAAATTAAACACATATAAACATTTCTTGTCATAATTTTTATTATGATAATTACAGCTCGTAACCTAATTCCTAAAGTCACAAAATACGGTTACGAGCCTTCTGAATTCATCAGGCTCTCAAGAAAATCTGGCTGCGTTGAAATCCTAATTGAATTATTTTAGGCCATGTCGGTTACTCCGGTTCTGCTGCAGATGTCATTGTAACAGATTCTACCAAGAAGAGAATCTCCGAATATAGCCCTCACCGTAGCTCGCTGAGGGACCTAAAGCTAATAAGGCCAGCATTAAATGACTCAGTTTCATATATTATTACGACACCACGCCCTGGTTATACACTCTTGTGTTAAAGTTTTGAGGAGTACATGACGGGAATATGTGACATAGTCTGCGAATGTTGTCCAGTCAAGTTGGATCCCTTTATGCTAGATAAAATACCCAGAATGGTGAAAGGAAGTTGGTGGTTAAAGGTACACATTATTTTATTAAGAGACACATGATTTTGCGATTATCAATTAAAACGCGTTAAAATCCGTAAATAATAGTTTTATTTAATGTGTAATGTTCGCGTAAATTAAAGAAATCATTATCATTCCAAATTTCAAACGATCGCCTCGTTTGAAATTTGGAATTATGCTCAATTCTCTCTACTTGTTACCAGTGCACCAGTGTTACTGGCTGTTACATTGTTGGATGTGCACTACAGTTGGAACACTACTTGCTTGATTGCAAGTGTGTGGGCTGGTAAAAAAAAGTAAAACTATTTTTTTTAGTCTAGTCAGTCATAGTTTCTAGACGCTATGACTCCGTTTCTGCCTGTACCACCCTAATAGCAGTGCTTGCGATGCTATGTTCCTGTCTGAAAAGCATAGAGAGCCAGTATCATTACAGGTTTGTTCTTTAACGGCTCCATGGTCTATTGACTTAGTTTTGGGTTGCGGCACTAAAGGACTCGGATTCAAATCCCGAATCAGAGAACAAGTTTTTGTATGGCCTACAAATAATTGTCCGGTTCTGGCTGCTTGTCATTGTGCCATTTGTGTTCGTAACCTGCCTAAGCGATACAGTAGAAAATCCTATTGTGAAGGTAACGTTCTTTAAAAAGACACAAAAAAAATTTGTGATGTATCTTACTACCCAGAGGTAACGATGCATCTGTAGTTATATTACTTTTAAGTTAGCTGCAAGTGTCTATGGGCTGAACTTCAGTTTGATAACAAATCAGTTGAACCTTATGTTATACTTTCACATGAGTTCAAAAGCTGAAGAAAATTGCGCAGTATACTGGCATTCGACCCTTGTAAAAGCAAAGTAAGAATTCATGAATTATTTACATCCGATTTTGTTTCCGAACAAAACTTAACGCGCTTAGGACAGCTGTCGACAGAGTCGACCCAAATTTACATACTGGACTGCCAACATATTTGTAACTTTTCACAACTTGAATAGTATATTTAAGTAACGTACATACAGTATGTAGAATCTTTTATATGGTACATCATTTCAAGATTTCTCTTTTAAATAATGTTATAACTGATATAACAAAAGAGGACAGTGTATCTGATGGTAAGTGAATACTGTAACTACTAGCTAAATGAGTTACAAATAAAACCAGCGAATTATTTCCACGTAGTTAACAACTGTCCATTACGATGTCTCTCCGATAGACTAGAAAAGTTCTAAAAATTAGCCTTATTTTAAGAAGAATACAGGCGGCACCTTGTTATTGAAACACACATATTGACGTAAACACTCCCACCTGTCACACAAAGGGGTAGGCAGATATAACAATTTTCCGTATGAGATGACCCTTACGCACCTCTCTCGCTTCTATTATTTGCCTCTTACATAATTTGGCCCATCCCCAATATATCGCCAATTTTATCGATAAACTTCTGTCGTTCCGATAAACGTTCCTCGAGCTGTGGTTGCTCAACGGCTAAGCACTCGATGTAAATTTCACAGTACCTACACGAGCAACGCGGGTTCGATACCCATCGGCACCCATGAAATTGTTAATTGCAATTATAAGTGCTGATATACCACGTGCTCGGCGGTGAAGTAAGACATCGTGAGGAAACCTGCATAATAATTTCAAAGACATTTTTCAATGTCTTTGGAATTGTCAAGGTCAATCAAAACTCAATATAAAAATAAAACTTATCGTAAGAGGGAATCTGATTATTAGTAATGCAGTATTTATCCATAAGTCATTATGCCCGCGCTTCTAAGTCTTGCTCCAAATAAATAATTCATGGACACTTGTTCTATCGTCTTAACGCCTTCTGTTTGTGACTTGTTGACTTCTAAGTACTATGCAAAATAAAATATTCAGAACGATTGTCTAAGAGTATTGTTACGAGCTTGAGGTTCGTGACAATAAAAACTGCCGATTGAATTACCAAAATTTACACTTTTAATTTTATTTACACCAATTAAGACTTAAAATACTAATAATTAATCACACTGATTCACTTTATTTCGCTCCGATGCTTCGCTTGTCTCGCCAAATTCAATACTGCTCCGATCGCGGCATGCAGCGGGCTTAAATACACTTTTACACCGAAACATCCAGAATATTCTCGTAGATACGGGCACCGACCGACCAGCCGCAGAAAGTTCGAGTGTGGGGCTTCTAGAAAGCTTAATTCTTCTGTTCGAAACTAGATGGCGCTGTTGGTCGAAAGTCAAGATTGACATTTTCTAGGAAGCCCTTTTCTCCGACACTAGATGGCGCTAGTGCCGGGTACCTGACGTCAACTTAGGCGCGCAACAATATTAATGTAGGCATATTGACATTTGAAACTAAACTTTAAAGGGTATAATTAAATTAAAAAAACGTGAATACATTTTTAAAAATTAGGAATTTAATTTAAATTTTCAAAGATATAAAACCGACTCCTAGAAAATAAAACGCTTAAAATAATTTCCATACAATTTAATAGCTCCTGAAGCTGAGACAGTACGAGATGTTGTTTACTGGTGGTAGGACTGCTTTTTAGACCGGGAATTTGTTTAGTTAGGTAACACGCCCTTACTTTTTTTGCCGCTTAATAACAGTGTTTGCACTGCTGTGTTCCG